AAATTTTGGTGTGTTTGACACAGCACATCTTCATTTGTACTAGCCACATTTCAATAGCCACATGTGGCTGGTGGCTTACGTGTAGGACAGTGGGGTTTTACAGCCTCTGCATTCTCAGACTTTATTCCTCCAGAGTAAAGCGATGAAGTTCACAGTATTTGATAAACTCTGTCAGGGGGTTCTTGGGACAGCGCCTGAAGCCCATTCTTGGAGCTCTGGTAAAGATTTCTTGCTCTTAAGATCCCTCAGGCTCCAGAAGGATATGATGCTTCTGTCTCCAGCAAACAACAATAAAGTAGCCTTTGCTTTTGTGGAACACATGTGGAGTGTCCTGGTCAATGAGAGCATTGAAGCGTGATGCTTCTCCTCCTGCCTCTGGGGTCTCAGTGCTGGCAGCCCCACACCGTTACCCCCTACACTCTCCCTGTTCTTACCTCACCTACAATTGCTACAGATGTGGAGGAAAAAAGAAAAAAAAAGAATAAAAATAATTAGGATGAATAGAGACTTCTTGTTCTAGCCTGCCAGATTAACCGGCCTGGCCTGTGCTAGGTGTTCTTTGTATTTGCGACAGGGGTTTATGGATAAGTAAGAAAGAGGATTTGTACTTAAATATCAGAAATATTCTAATGCTTGGCCGGTTATACCGTTCATGCTTTTATCTCTTACATTGTCCTCCAAATCATTTGTCCTCTGGTGAATCTTGACAAAGCGCCTGCACAAAATTAACAGGCATGCAAAGCCTGGATGAGCAAAATTGATTTGCCTATAATCTGTTTGTGAAGAGATCAGGACGTGGTTGAAGTGATTTTAATTTCAGAGCCCAAGTTGCTAGTCTGTCTTTTTGTCAGGCAATTAGTTCCACTGACTGGGCAAGAATGCCATGATGCAGAGTACCCAGGGGAACCAGGCAGATGGAAAAGGCATATCCTTTTTTCATTCCTTGGAGCATTCCTCGTGCCAGGCTTCTTTTGTCTGTCTCGTTTATTTTGGGTAAAATTCCCTGCTTGGCACCAGGCTCCGTGACTTTGCTGGGGCACAGTGCTGTGAAATAAGTTGACCAAAAAGACAGGCCTAAGGGCCAAATCTGTAGGTGAAAGTTCTAGATGAGGACCTCCAGGGAGGTGAGCAGTGGAGGAAATTCTGACAACAGTTACTGCTTCTGGCCTGTCTGGCTGTGCATTCACATCTCACACATGGTATTTCATTTTATTTTTTCAACAATCCCAAATGACACTAATATCCTCATTTTGTTGCTAATGAAAGTGAGGCGCAGAGAGAGGTTAGTCATTTGCCAAAGTTCCATCTCTAAGAAGGGCAGAGTCAAGGTTGAAGCATGGTGCTCTTCGTCCCTGGACTGTGCTGGCCACTCAGGAACCTACAGAAGCCATCGCTTCCTGGACTTTGGGAAGGGAAAAGGTGTGGATAAAGAGGCAGGATAACAGTAACCTTAACACGGTACTCCCACTCACTAGCGCAGGGTCTTTGTCTTCCTCCCTTAATTATTCTTCATACCTAACTGAATGTGGCTCATTTAAGGCACAACATAGGCACATAAGAGGCACAACCTTATTTACTGGTGACTGACCTACATTATCCTGATTCTCATAATGACCATGAGCAATAACAAGGAAAGGTATTATTATCTTTATTCATGACTACTTTACCTGAATTAAAGGGACTATCTCACATTCCCAAAGCTGATTTAAATAAATTTCTGGGTTGTTTTAATTGTCAGGGTGACAGCTTACCTATAAAGGTTGCAGGCTCTTGGAAGCAGGGATCATTCCTATACACTTTTGTATCCCTCCCCACAGCACAGAGAACATTTCTATGAGCACAGAAAGTTCTATAAGAGAGTGCTACTCTAGAGGCCAGCAAGAGCCAATTGGTAACAGTTTAACACACTACCCTACTTCAAAGCCAGAGGTTTGAAGTTAATAATTTTTGAATGAATAAATGAATGAATACCATAATGAAAGTGTTCTCTTAATATAGACTGAGCTAATTACCATGATCAGTCATAGGCCGAATTAGTGCTTTCCAGGGTAGCTGACTCCATTTTTCAAAATGAATCATCAAAAAGAACAAAACAACTCTTTTCTTAAAGATGTCAAAGTGCAATTTTAAATGTCATGTTAAGTAATGGCAAGATGCTAGAGTGGGTTAGCAGTGATTACTACTATTTAACAGCCATTTAAAAACAAGGCAAGTGTAATGTTTGCACCAATATGGCATTTAAATAGTCAAAACTACTCTACTTTGATAATGAATTAATTCATAATTACTAATACCATATTTCATTGACTTTATCTCATTTTTCATAAAGCTTAAACTATATCATTGTTATTATTTTAGTTAATATCATGTTATCTATCTATGCCAAGAGACTGGCATTGCCTTTTAAAAAAAATGACAGAGAAATCAAAGGCCTGACACATTAAGGTTTTCATTTACCAAAAAAAAAAGACAGTGATATTCTGTGATATTCGGAGTTGTCTTTTCTTACCTTGTGATTGTCTCAGCAACACTTCTAGGGACACTCGAATAAAAACAAATAGCAAGGTAGATGCCACAAAGGCTAGGCTTCTTGCACTAGATTTCCCACAGAGTGCAGAATATCTTAACTTGCTAGATGCTCTACCCAGCCTCTTAGGGAAGAAGTTCATCAGTTCAGCATATTGGTGTTTTATGGAAACATGAGAAAGGCCGTGATACATCTAGCTCCTTTCAGTCCTTCCTTTAACCAGTCTCATCTATAAGAATGCCTGTCCTTAACTAAGACTGAGCGAATACAGTTTGGGTCAGGGGCCATATCTCCAGTGTAAAGCCACCCATTCATTCATTTACCATGTGTCTAGAAGTGCTAGGCACTAGGAACACAGTGATGAATGCCACACAGCCCCTGTTCTTAAGCAGCTCACAGTCTACTGGTAACTCAGACCAGTAGATCAGCAACCACCATGGAGGGTGATCAGCACTCAGTGGGGGTAAGCAGAGACTGCCAAAGAAACCACATTGTACAGCATGGGAGCTAAGAAAAGACTTCCCAGAAAAATAGCAACAAATAATGTCATGAAGCCTAGATAAAGGCTTTCCAGGTGGTGGCAGGGGGAGAGAGAGAGAATAAGAAAGAGAATGTGGCTTGATTGAGCCTGTGGAGAGAAGTATAGTGTCATTGAAGCATAGAGATTTCAGGAGGCCACAAAGGGTAGTGTGGTAGAATGAGGCTCTAGAGCTGTGCTGTCCGGTGTAGTAGCCAAGAGCCATATTTGGCTACTTATTTATTTTAGAGATAGGGTCTTGTCCTGTTGCCTGGACAACTTGGCTGGAATTCAGTGCCTCAATCATAGCTCACTGCAGTCTCGAGCTCCTGGGCTCAAGTGATCCTCCTGCCATGGCTTCCCAAAGCACTGGAATTACCGGTGTGAGTCTGACTGTACATTTGGCTCTTTGAGAGAATAAAAATTAAATACAAATAGAAATGTTCCTCAATTGTACTAGCCACATTGAATCTGCTCAGTAGCCACTTGTGGCTACTATATTGGACCACACAGATATGAAATATTTCCATAATCACAGAGTTCTACTAGACATTGCTGCTCTAGAGCCTGGCAGGGGCCAATGAGGAACTTTGAATGACATACCAAGGTGTTTGGACCTTATCCTGAGGATAATAAGACCACACTGAAGCATTTTATATAAGGGAGTAGAATGATTAAATCTATGTGTTAGAAAAGTCACTCTATAGGTCACATAAGAAATTACAGAGAGGCAAGTCTAGGAATTAGAGATATCAGTGAAGAAAGTATTGGATTAAGCAGAGCAAGAGATGATGGGGGCCTTGGATGGGTAGAATAGGAGAGAAGTACATGGACTCAATAAATTTTAAGAAATAGAGTCAATAAGACATATTAAACAATATGGAACAATATCTAAACAGATGTGCAGGATGAGAAGGCAGAGGTGAGGTTGATCTCCAGCTTAGGCAGCTAGTAAATAATGGTATCATTAACATAGACAGGGAACAGGCAGAGGAAAGGAACAGGTCTGGGGAGGAGTGATGATAAATTCAACTTTGTTTTTGCTATATTTGAGGTATACAAGGAGGCGTCCAAGTGAGCTGCAGAAGACATTTGAAGAGTCAGAGCTAAAGCTCAAAGAACAAATCTAGGCTGGAGATTAAGATTTTGATGTCATCACCATATGGATGACAGTTGAAGCCATGGGAGTAGAGGAGTTCCCCAAGGGAGAGAGTGTGGAATGAGATACTAAGAAGGCCAAGGTCTAAACTTAGAGAACCCTGATGGTGATAAGATCAGCCTAGGAAAAAAAGCCAAGGTAAGCAACCAGAGAGGTAGAAATAGAACCAAAAGAAAGTAGTGGGATTCAAGCAAAGAGAGAGTATTTAGGAAAAAGGAGAGGTCATCGTGTCAAATGTGTCAGAGGGCACAATAAGGTAAGGGTTGAAATATATCAATATGATTTTGCAAGAGAGAGGTTGATCATCGGGGAAAGCACTTCCAGAGAACTGATGAGGGCAGAAGGTGCATTGCAGTGGGCTGAAAAGTGAATGGGAGTTGAAGAAGTGAAAGCAAATATAAACAACTCTTTCAGGATAGCTCATTCCTGTCCATATCCACTGTGCCATTTTCAAATGTCCACCTCATAGTAAAGATATTTGTGAACTGTCTTATCCTCCAAACCATTCTAAGCTCATCAAAAGTACAAATGGGTATTCTATATTTGTATTCATCATTGTTTCTACTGTGGGTTTTACATATAGAAAATGCTCTGTTTAAATCTGTAATACATTTCCCCGGCTTTCAAGTATGTATTATTTTCATGTGTTATTCTCTTAGACAATTTTTTTTGATTGAGTAGGAAGAACTCAGTTTCAGTTGAGAAAAAGATAAGTCCTTTTTTTTATTGGCTCTTATAGTTTCAGGAAATTTTGTGAGTCAGGGGAGGGGAAATTTAAAAAAATCAGAAAACAGAACAAGGACAAATGTGTTTTAATAAAAAAACTAGTATGATTATTTACACCAATTCCTTGATAAGCATATAAATGTAAACTTTTATTGTTGGCATTATTTCACATATGATTTATCCAAATTCAGAGTTAATACTGTCATTTGAGTGTACAGGTAGTGAGAAAATTTTGTTATATTCACAGAATATACATACACGTGCATTCAAAATGTGTCCCTCTCTAAGCCAGTGGTATAGACACTGTCCCGTTGGCTCTGCCTCTGCCTCGCAGGTGTACGCTGGGATCAGTCACATCATCCACATGCTCCTCACTCTTCTTTTCCTTCAGGCTGTTGATGAACCTCAGGGTGATTTCATCCCATTCTTCAGGCAACAGCATCAGCAGAAACCCAATGCAGATGATGATGGTAGCAGCCAGGCGGACGACATTGAATATCACCTCCTGCTTTAGGAGATCCACAGCTAGGAAAGAAAAATCAAGTCATGCATTGCATATGCCTGTTTCTAAGCTTTGAAAACAAGTCACCAAAGTCTATGTTACTTCTAGAGATTTCCAAGAGTCGTCTTTATTCTTCCAAGTTAGTGTTTCCTTTTTCCACATTGCTAGGTTTGCTTTCCATTGCTTGTCTCTAAATCATGCTTATCTTTCAAGGCTTAGCTCAAATTCCATGTAATCTGACTTACTTACCTCCCTAGTTTTCTCTCAGTACTTTTCCTCTGTACCCCTTTACCTGTCTCCAGTTTCATTGGACCATTGGAGATTTTTCAAATGAGCCAAACTTGTTAGTGTCTAAGACTTGTGCAGGCTGTTCTTTTAAAAATGTAATTGAGGTGAAATTCATGTAATATAAAATTAACCATTTTAAAGTGGACTTAGTGGCACTTAGTATATTCACAATATTATGCAGCCACCACCTCTCTCTGGCCCCCAGATATCTCCATCACTTCAAAATAAAAGCCCATACCGATTAACTCCTTAGCTTCTTACCCCCACTCCCCAGCCCTCAGCAACCACCAATGTACTTTTTTTTCCCCCTATAGGTTTGCCTATTCTAGTTATTTTATATAAATGGAGTCACATCCTCTGTCCTTTTGTGACTGGCTTCTTTCACTTAGCAAAATATTTTTGAGGTCCATCCATATTGCAGCATGTGTCAGCACCTCATTCTTATGGCTGAATAATATTTCATGCATCGTAATTTGGTTATTCATTCAACTGCTGATGGACATTTAGGCTTCTCTACCATTTTGCTATTGGGAATAGGGCTACTATGAACATTTGTGTATGAGGATTTTTAAAATCTGTTTTCACTTTTCTGGGGTATGCAGTCAGCAGTGGAGTTGTTGGCCACACATGTGCTATTCTTTTTGCACGAGCTACCCTTCACTCCTCATATCTCACTTCATCCAGCTAAACCTCTCCTTAGATCTCTTCCCTTAGGCTTCTCGCAGGAAGCCTTTTGGATGCTCCTCCTACGCGCCCTTGCAGCATTCAGCACATACCTCTATTAAAGCAATTCTATGTTGTAATTACTCAATTTTTTTCTTTTTTCTCCCTCTCAATGCTACATGGTCCTGAGGGCAGAGACTGTGCCTTATTCAGGACCTGTCACTAGTGTTAGGAAAGTTCCTGGTGTACACTAATTGCTCAGAAATTATTTGTCAGATGAATGGATGAACTTCCTTGACAACTCCACTCAGATATTTCTTTCCTCTGAATGTCTTATAGCTGCTGGAGTCTGTCTCACACAATTTGGCATTTAATAATAAATTATTTTGTAGAGTTCCAAGTTGTTTCATGTAGGTTGGCCTTCTTTTACAAATTCAGTCATAAACATCTTAAGAGAATAATAATGTAATTTTTTTTCTTTTTTGCAGTCCTGATCACATGACAAATGTTCAATAAACATTTGCTGATTGTCGTGGAGGACAGAAAAGTGGCTGCTCAAGACTTGAAATTATAAAATTTTAAAGTTAAAAGGACTATACAATCATCCAGATAATCCATTTGTATTTCTTGTTTCACTGGCAGGTTTCTCTAGAAATATTATCCTGGAAAAATAGCTTCTCTTGTCCCTGAGGTGAATAAAATTGTTTTTTCCTTATATCTATCCCAGAGGGCCACCTGCTCTGCCCCAGGAGAGCCTTCTGTGGCTCCCCATGGGTTGTCTGAGGAGAAGCCAACCCCATGTACATCCTCTACACTTTCATTAGTGACGGTTACTTGAAAGTCCTATGCTGGGATGCCTTTTGTTTCCATAGGACTTTCTCTAAAAATACCACAAAATTAGGTTGTCAGGGAGATTACATGAAACCCAAATGATACATTTGGTATTTAATTCTAAAAGCACAACCAAGTAAAAACAGTGTTTTTTAGCTGCAAATTTTAAATCTGCTGCATAGTTATTCTGTTGTCTGCCACCTTCACGATATTTAAAAACATCTTCCCAGGCAAGGAACATAATTCACAATTTCTAGAAGGAACAACTCAAGACACAGAACAAACACAAACAGGAGACTTGTAGTGGCCAGGATCTGCACATGTCACATGGTACCTGTACCTGCATTTCCAGGAACGCTGAGCACTGTCCCAATGGAGATTAGGATTGGGTATGTCAGCACCACCCCAACATTCACCAGGATGTTGAAGGCTGTAAAATAGAGGAGGAAATACAAGATAAAGGAGAAATAATATGCTGGACTTTTTTCTTCTCAAAGTAAATGAATCAATGTCTTTGCTACATGTGCCTTTTAAACTGTCTATACCTTTGATCCTCTAATTTTGGAGATGGATGCATGTGTATTCTACCTGAATTAGTCATTTTTTTCTTTCCTCCTCTGCCACTCTGTTTAGCTGAATCTTGCCAATAGGCTGGCAAAAGGCATATGGAGCAAATACAAAGAGGTAAAATAATTGATTCACAGCACTGCTTATTGGCACTATAAAGGTAGGTTAGGGCCAGCCAGAGGTTAAAAGCAGGTGATTGATTGAAGATGGTGCCTCATCTCTTTATTGCTATGCTATTTTGTGCCACATTCCTGGACATTAAATGGCTCCAGTGTTACTGCCTAAAGGAAGGTCTATCCAATGATAGCCTATGCTGTTTTATCCCCTCTCTCTGGAGGTCAGCATCATGTGGGCAAACAAGGGTGGGTTTAAATGTAATTCACTGAATTCCAGAGACTGTCTCCATATCCTGATTTGTGTACAGATAATCAGAGCAGATCCACAGAACCAACTGAAGGTGTAGCTTCATGTTCTTCAATGAATACCTTTTGGAACTCTTTGGTTAAATATAAAATTAGTTACAATAATCATTTCTCCACTTTAAAACTTATCAAAAACACATTTTCAAAAAGAAAAAAATTATAAATTACAAAACGTTATTCTAATAGAATCCACTCAAATGTTTGTTTCAGGGGATAGAGAGATGAGTGCTATCTCCATGACAATGAGGGAAGCATGTTGCCTATATCTCTGTAGAACCAAAAAAAGTTCTAGAACCATTCCAATTAGGATGATGTATGTTCTTCTATTGTCATCTGTAATTCCCGCTTTAGGCCCACTGGGTCACTTGTGCTTGATAGTTAGAAACAGTGAGTTTGACTTTTACACGACTTGGGCTCCTTTTTATTGTTCATACAATAGTAGTGGCAAGCAAGGCAGAGGGTCTTCCTAAGCTAATAACTGCTCCTCAGTCCTGACAAAGCTGCAACATGAATGAATATTCCAGCACTTTGACACTCTCCTCAGACTGAGGGAGTCCGACATGGCAAATTCTTACAAATCAGGAATTTATGAAATACAGCACAGGCTCTGCTGAACTCCATAATATGGGGCCTAGCCTGAGTTTAAGTGCAATTCAGACATGCTAGGTGAATGGAGGAGGCTGACTTGCATTTGGGCTAACGCATTTCCGGAAAGGTAGGTCAACCTGAGAGGATTGAGGCAAAGTAAATGTAAGCAAACAAGAAACCATAACTACAGGAGATGTGGGGTAGTTCAGGGTGCAGACTGATGTGTATCTCTCAGACCTGTGTCAGCCTAGCCTCAGCCAGATCATGTCTGATTTCTATGGAGAAAAGAGGGATGGCAATAAACACTTAGGAATAGGAGCACTGAAGACCGTAAGATCCTGGGGTGTGTAACAGCCAGGAGGGAGGCTATCTCAATTGTCACAGCACAACTTTGGCACAGTGAGCTCTGCAGTGCACTGGGGTGGGCCTGGTGGAGCAGCTGCAGTGCTGCTTAGCACTGCAGCCAGTGGAGTGTGGAGCTCATACTGCTTGGTGGCGAATGCCAGTGTTTAGCTAGCACAGGTGGCATCCAGCCTCTGCAGGCTTGCTTAGGAGCATGTATTGGATATGCCAAGGAGTATATGTTGGTGGAGGGCTACTTTGCAGCATGGTGGAAATCATGTGTGCAATGAGGAGGCTAAAGGTCATTAAAATTTTAATTAGGATTGTTCCCATTTATGTTGTTTTTGGTCAGAAAATAATCTAGGTGCTTTTAATGAGGATGTTTTGGTCTTACGGAAATATCGCTATTGATTTCTACTCAACTTAGCAGAGGTTATGAGAGGTGCTAACCACATAATTTTGGCGTCGAAAAGTAGAACTCAAGGGACCAACAATTAATATTTTATCCTTCTCTTGAGTGTTTTCTGTCTAAGACCTCCCCTGAGTCTGAGGGACTGAGCCAGCATAGAAAAAGATGACCCAATCAATACTCTTGCAGGGATGAAAATAAGAACATGTTGCTCCCAGGAATTGCAGTGCTGCTACTATTTCAAATTATATCACCTCAATAAAGAAGGTCAGTTGAGGGTTGATAGATGTTCTGCAGGCTGAGTATTGTGGGAAAATGAGGAGTGGGCAGAGGGAGTTGACCTCCGAGTGGTGTGGGGAAATGGGAGCGGCATGAAAAGGATTTGATTCTGAGTAAACAAACACCAAGTCATTGGGTTGTTGCTGTTTTTTGACTGCTTGGTGAGAGAAGAGCAACCTTGTTATTTTACAGGCTCCTCTCACATCAAGTGACAACAGCAGCACAGCTTAAAAGTCGGATTCCGGAGCTCAGGTGAGGCAGCCAGCCTCAGAGTTATAGGAAGTTGGCAGTGAAGACATTACAAAGACTCCAGGTGATTTTTTCTTGGCCATTAACTAGGCACTGTCTACACAGCCAGGATCACCAAGCCCAGTGCATGCTGCTGTCTCTTTACTGGTAATGTCTTCCTATCACAAATCCATCCTCCATTCTCAGCCAGAGTGAGCTGTTTCATATGCAGATATGAGCCTATCACCAACCTGCTTAAAGATTATTAAGTGAACTTTAAATCCAAACACCTCAAAATGGCTTTCCAGGTTCTTCCCAACCTGCTTCCTTCTTAAATAGCATCTCCCTCCCTCCCTTCCTCCCTCCCTCCCTTCTTTCCTTCTGAACTCAGTGCTCCCACCAGTTTGAACCACTCTGAGTTCTTTGAATGCACCATCTACTCCCTAGCCTCTGCCCAGCACACCATGGCACACATGGAACATTATAATGTGATACAGTGCATTAGAAAGAACGAATGAGGCTGAAGAAGAAGAATGGATTGAAGGCCACTGGTATACAGAGAGACCTGGGCCTCCATTGCACACCTTAACTCATGGGAGGCATACTAGTTGGATAGCTTGAACCTAATCAACCAGCAGCTTGCAAAGAACCTTCTAAACATGACCAATGATGTTGAACAACATACGTTTGGGAACTAGAGCACAGAGTTACCCAAGGAAATAATCCTATGATGATAATCTAACTAGCCAAAGAAAGATTGAGTGATATAGGGAATGGAAGGCAAAACCCAAGGCCACTTACCCAGCCACAGCCCTGCCATCCCACAGAGACAGCCCCACGGCAGAGCTGCAAAAGAGGACCAGTGCTCCACCTTGGTGAAATACAAGATGACTGGGGTGAAGGAGATGAAGATCAAATTGAAGAAACCCAAGGTGGAGACAAAGTGTGCGGCTTCCCCAAAGTTGGCACTTCCAAGAAACATTTTAAACAAGACCTGGAATGAGAAAAAAAACTCTACAGCCACACAGAGGCTTAGCTAGAACAGAAAGGTAAGTCTTATCATTCTGTACTGTGAGCTAACTGGCCCAGAGTTTATTTTCCATTTCTTCTTGCCCTGACATCTTCACAGCACTAGATGGGCTGTTGAGATAAGGAATTAAAATACTCTATAGCCTTCATATGAAATGGCAAATGCCATAAAATGAATTTCTTATGGTGCTGAAAACTGCTGGGTACTGTCCATTGTGTTTAGTGCCACCATCAGTGATGGGCATCAGGCAAATGATAAATAAGAGTCCAGACAAGCCCAGAAAAATCTTCTAGGACTGACGGCCATTAATCCTTACCTTAAAGCATGTGATTTGTTTTATCCTTATTTTGATAGATACTGAAAAGTAAATTGGATGGAGAGACCCTGTCATTATGTTGAGAGAAATAATATTTATGCCTTGGATTTATACGCAATTTTCTTTGTGAGCTTAAAATGACTTCACAAATATGGTGCTTGTTCCCCAGTTTAAAAAACAGTTTTTATATATTATAAACCTGTGTGCAGAGGAAGATGGCAAGGAGAAGCAAATAGCTAAGATAAAATCACACAACAGGTCAGGGAGAAAGCCAAGTGTAGAGTCCATATTTCTTAGCTTCTTAAGCCCACCACTCCCTATACTAATCCTGTAACAACATAGAGTGAGGCAGATCTCTTCTGCCTGGAATTATATTATGGTGCAGATATGATTTGGTACATGTCAGCAAATATTACCACTCTCAGAATGAATACATTCTGTAACCTGGTCAGGGGAAATCCCTCTGCAAGAGAGCCATTCTGGTCATAGAGCAACCCCAGGTACTGTTTCTAATTTCAACTGAACTAATGATTTTTTTCTGCTGAAAGACTTAATCAAAAGAATTTGAGCAGGTGGTAGTCTTTGGTCACATCAGACATCTTGGTGAATCTCACTTGGGGAGCAAGTTAGACACTAATGGCCGTTGAGTGAACATTTGTCAAGCTTTTCACACAGAATCAATGGGCCAAGAAATGTCAATATGGAAATAGACTTCATGCCCTCTGAGCCACAGTGTTGGTTAATAATCAGAAAAGGCTTCCAGGAGGGATGAAAAGGGTATTTGCTGCCTTTCAGAGAGTGTTTTCTCATTGAAACACCAAGAGAGGTGAAATTGGAACAGTCCTTTAATACATCCAGAAAGTTGACTTTTAAAAGTAGAGCTTTGGGGAATAACCTTTTAGATCTGCTCTCTTAGTTCTCACTTCTGAAGTCAGGTGCAATGAATCTGAATAGAATTTTCTTTGATGACAGGGAACTCCAGTGGAGAAAAAAATGGTGGGTACATACAACCGACTTAGAGCATCCATCAGAGAAAAAAAGAAAAAAATCATTTTGCTAGTAACATGAGCTCCTGTGGCATGGGGTTAATATGTGCCAAACAGCTCTCTAGTGATAGCTTATTTCTAACATCTCTTTTGAATTAAAATAATGACCATAGATAATTAAATTAAAGAAACATAGGGAGAGAAGATGACTTTCTAATGTTCCTGCTATAACTGCCTGCTAAATGAGGGATTAGGGCATAGCACATGGGCTTAGAAGTGGGCTAGTCCAGAGTTTAAGTCTTGGTTCTATCACTATTTGGCTGTATGATTTCAGGCAAATTATCTAATCTTTCAAAGCCTCAGTTTCCTCATCTGGAAAGTGGAAATAAATATGTATGCCTCATAAGGTTGTATTAAAACAGGCAAAATTTTCAGGCAGGTACCCATCACATAATGAGTACTTAATTTACTTACTATCATTTCAACACATCTATTTTCTTTCTAGTCAATGTTTTCATCCTACTTTCTTACTTTAGTACTCAAGTCTAAGTTATGAGTGACAGTTGCTTACAAAAGAAAATGCACAACTACCTTATATAATGCAGATGTAGAGGCTGAGCCCACTGCAAATGCCACTCCTACGATGGAATCAGCGTGGAAATTATCTGCATACGCCATCATGACAATGCCGGTAATTGCCATTATTGCAGCAACTATCTGTCAAATAGGATGCAAAGAAACAGAAAAGCAATGAAACAAAGAAACAGAAAAGCAATGATGCCTCTGGATCCTAGATCAGGCAATTCAAGACTTTATAAAACTGCTAAGTAATTCCTTAAACCTAATTACCTTTTGTACATCACTTTTTAAATGTAGGAAGGCTCAGTATTAGAAATAAATCAGTATGTTCATGAGATATCCAGGTACAGAATATAAAAGCTGTTCACATTATAATTAATAGTAATTTTATTATTTTAAATATATTTTTACTTTTTTAGGCCTAATAATTTCAACTTTTTAGCTCAAGCTTTCTAGAGATTAACATTTGTACTGGTGAAATAAATTTAATAGAAAGTCACTTCTAAGTGTTTTCATATCTTCTGTATTTCATCTATTCTTTTTTCTCCAATTTAGTATACATTTTAATCAGCTCCTTGGATCAATGTATGTTTCTGAAGATCTCCATCTAATCAGGACCTGATCAGCGAGGCATGATATTGATACAGCTAAGAGGCAAAATTTAGGCCAATGGGAAAAGAGAAAGAAAATAAATTCTCGTAGAGATTTGTAGAGGAGCAAGCTGAGTCTGCACTGTCACTTGGAATGTCAAATGGAAGCCAGTACTTCCTTTTGTTCACATGAAAATTCATTTTTCAGAAAAAACACTGAAAGATAATTTCATTTAATTATTCTAGAGCATTAACTGCATAAAGTGAAATATTCATAATTCAACTGAAGTCATCATGGTTTACTGTAAATTGACATGATTCTTGCTATATTCAAAACAGGAGTCTACTCCCTTAGTGAAATGGTTTGTGTCATCTGTTTAATTATCTTGAACCAGTTCTACTGGAAAGCAGTTCAGAGCTACAGCAAACAGTAAAATAACGCTGGAACAGGTGACAATATGTCATTTCCTTGTGAAATGGTTTCACTGACTTTAAAATCCAGATGAAAATTTGTGAGAAATTTAAACCTACATGGTAATTAATTTTGTTAAGCTTCAGTTCTGAGTATTCCCAAGTAAAGAAATTCCCAAGTAAAGATAGCTTTTTCACATATGTGATTTTCGGGGGCCCTTTTGAACACTATTAGTGAATTATTTTTTATAACATGTAGATTTTTAACATGTAATTATTGACTCGCTTGAGACCAGTGCAAAGTATGTTCCCAATGACAGAATTCAGACGCTGCCAAAGCATGTCTTTTGTTAATGGTCACCAAAATAAGAGCCCACTTGGTTTCAGAGTAGCTCCATATTAAAGTGTCCTTAATGAAAAACAGCAGGAGTACTTGAGAACAGACGTAGACATGTCAGCAGTGAAAAATCATCTTCATTAAACATTATCAGGAGGCTGCTTGATGGGAGGTGGTTTTCTTGCTGAGTGAATATCATATTCTCTAAAGCTGCTGGGTGTGTGTTCTGGTTAGATTCGTCCTTAAACTATAGGGAATAGAATTTAATACACACACCACAAGGTGTCAAGGAGATTTCCTAAACAAGAAGTAATAGACTCATCAATAAACACAGTGAGGGGGTTATCAAGACCTGGAAATTCTATAAGGGTTATCATTTTCCTTGATTTGGGGATTTGCAATAGTTCTTTGGGGGATCTGATTTCAGGGAAATAAAAAGGCACATTAGATATTGGCATATCCTGACTTGGTTTTGTGTTTAAATAATGTTCACTGGCTAGTGTTCATGAGCACAAATAGATTTCCTTCATAAGACTGAATTAGCAGGAGAATACATTTGAGTTAATATTTGTTTTCTTTTAGCTAAGTGTTGTATTTTCTTGGTCAAATAAACAAGTGGTTACTTCAAGACAAGACTAACAAAACAGTGTAAATCCTAACAAACTTTCACATGATGTGCTATTCTATATTTTAAATTATTAAAAGCATTCTGTAATACATAACACAAGGGTTTAGGTAATTACACACTGTAGTATGTAATTCTGGATTTAGAAAATTGTGAAAACCAATTAAAAAACCCCAAAGCAAAAAACAAAATGCTGTCTAGAAAAGGACAGGCAGTTGGCATCATTATCCCCAAGATATGACCACAGGTAGGAACTCTTCCTTTTCTGAGTTAGCCACTAGTAAAAATAGATATGCATAAACTTTCTATTATGTTTCCTCAAGATAGGAATTGAATGTGGGTAAAAATTACATAACTGTAGCAATTCAAAATTATAACCATAGTGAGCCTCTTAAAGATCTTCATTACTTGTTATATTCAAGTCCTTGTGAAAATATTAGCCTGGACCACTTAAATTGACATATCAATTACAGCAGTGTCTCTTTCAATTGCCTTCACAGAGAGAAGCATTTTTCACTTTAGGGGGCCAGACAATGCTGTTAAGTTCTGAAAGAATGAAAATCTGAGTATCTGAAATGTTAGAAAAATTCTCCATGATATGAGCAGTAATTCATAAGTTATACAGTAGGTTCTTGGGGCAGGGTGCGGGTGGAGGGTGTAGTGGGAATAGATAAATTATTTGCCACATTTTAATTTAAATTTCATAAATATCTGATAGGTCAAATTCTCTATGGCTATATTTTAAGAAATTTTAAATATATTTCTTATCTATATGGTTGTAAGTGAAGGAAGAGATCTCAGCTAATCTTGAAAATGAGGAAAAGTTGTGGAGTGGTTGTTAAACCACTGGTTTAACTTTGGAGAGTAAATACTCTTCAGATGTCCGGAGAACAAATATCCTAAGCACGTGTCAGTCACACGCATTTTTAGAATCCATCAGTCATCAAAGAGGGATTAATAATCTTTTCGTCTCAACAGAAAAACACAAAATGACTCTTCTTGGCCTCAGCTTTCTGGAAATGTGTCTGCAGGAAGCCAGCGCCTAAAAATGCTCATATGTGTTCATTAACATGATGACAACCACTGAAGTGCTCCTGGGACACATTAACATCCATAAGAGGAATTCTGCTGAAAATACACCATCTAGTGGTGCCACCTGCTCGGCTTCTGAAAAATGTGGGTCTCTTGACAATCTATTCCGGTTCCAGCCTCTTAACCAAGCAGAAGTGTCTAAATAAGATGTAAAACTAGGCCAGGCACAGTGGCTCATGCCTGTAATCCCAGCACTTTGGGAGGCCCAGGTGGGTGGATCACATGAGGTCAGGAGTTTGAGACCAGCCTGGCCAACATGGCGAGACCCCGTCTCTACTAAAAATACAAAAATTAGTCGTGCTTTGTTGGCACATGCCTGTAATACCAGCTACTCAGGAGGTTGAAGCAGGAGAATCGCTTGAATCTCGGAGGTGAGGGTTGCAGTGAGCTGAGATCACATCACTGCACTCCAGCCTGGGCAACAGAATGAGACCCTGTCTCAAAAACAAACAAAAAGGATGGGGGGCGGGGGAAAAACCCTTACCATTACCATTATCTGAACCTGGCTTAGGTTAGGATGTTAGTAACCATAGTGACCATAAAACTGCCAGCTCCTCCATTTAAAATTTTTAAACCTCTCTGCCCTCACACATTGTGGTGTGCCCACCTGGGGTGAGTCATTGAAGGAAGAGGATTTATTTAGCCCATTATCTCAGCATGCCAGTTGAGTGGCATGGCCTCCTGAGCCACCTATCTTCCTCTGCATGCTGGGGCCCTCAGAGAGCTCTCTGCACCAATTTTCAGAGCCAATCAGAGGGGATCTGTGTGGTCATTTGAGCCTGTTCCTAAAGCCCAAAGAGGGCTTTACCAGTGGACATTTGGTGATCTCACTGTACTAAATGCCACCTGTGACCCTACATGGAGGTTGTTTCTTTTATCTTTCAAATAATTAGTTTGTACAGATAAAGCCTAAAGGAATATCTGGCTTTGGCTGTTTTTGTTTTCTTCTATATTTTTTTCTTTTTCTCTTTTGGCTCAGGCCATCAAAAGCCCACAAAGGTTTGGTCCTTCTCTGCATCTCCAAGAGGGTTTATCAACCTTATCCCATTCACTATGGTTCCCATTCACAGATGGTTTTCACAATTCTTATTTGCATAACAGTACCAGCTCCTTCAGGGTCCAAGGCATTGGATGAACCTTTAGTTGCTTCTCTTCCTACAGTGTTCCTTTAAGATTTTAAAGGTCAAAATGAGTAATTATAATCCAAACATGTTTCCTTACTTTGCCTTGAGGCTAGTTCTGTTTCTTGAAGCTAGGTGCGTATGAAGCAGCTGGTTCACAAATCAACCCTTGAATTCCAAAGCCTACAGCAGCCCTAAAAATGCAGATCTCAGACCACACTGCTGGCAGCTGCTGTACTCAAGTTGAAAACTAAAGGTCAGTAGTTGAGGTTGGGACACACGTTAATAGTTTGACCGATGAGAAACAGGCTGATGATTATCTCTCTGGGTAAATTTAGATAGAGTTGATTTTCAGGGAACTATGGCTATACAGAATCCTTAAACTTCTGCATGTGTTATATTTAAGGTTCTATGAAAAACTGTCTTTTTTACTCAGATTCTATTAAACTGAACAAGTGCTGAAGTGTGAAAAGTAAGAGGTGTGGCAATCTATAGCTGTCCAGATGCTGTGTGTGAGACGGGCAGTGGGGGTATCTTGGATAGCAGCACACCCAAGGGATGCTGGCCCTCTGAACTCCCCCTCTCCCTACACGCGTGGATTTTTATATGAATAAAATCCATTTGAAAATGATCTCAAAGGGAGACCTGGATGTCAAAGATGTAAAGAAATCCCGTGAGGAAAGAGTGAAGGATATATGTGGAGGGTAGACACATTGACTGCACCTTGTTGAAGGGGTTACAGATTCCTTGTGGGTGTAAAATCAGACAGCCAGCACAACCCAGCTGTCTCTTCTCTTGGCTGTATTCATAAGTCATTGTCCTGCCAAGACAGGGATAAGAGGGAGGATGACTCCCACTGTCCATCCTCCACTGCCTCTTCTAGGAAGCATGGGAGTTCTGGGTAGAGAATTCTGCATTGCACATGAATCAAGAGTAACCAAAGGCAAGATGGAAACAAATTGTCAAGTTATGTGTCATCCTAATTCTTATCTTAATATCAGCATAAATCAGTAGCAGCTCAGCTCTCATGTACTGTTTTAGAGCATTCTGGGGCCCAATTTGAATTCAAAGAAGTACCTGCTATACAATGAAAGATTCAGTTTAACTGATGTACTTCAGTCAGTTTTTGGTAGATCCTGGAAAGTCTTTGAAACAGCCATAGTTTGGGAAGCTAACTGCATAGGGACCCAAATATGGCTGGAAAATATGTGGCTCCCAACCCAGAGGGACACTAATTCATTTCATAATCTGCTAAGACAGTTGGAATCTGCTGAACCATCCACCAACCACCAATATTCTCCATATCTTCAAGGAAATTGGAAAATGTAAGAAAAATTTGAATGACTAATATAAAAAAATAAGAGAGGGACAAAATCTGAAAGACAGTTTCTACCATTGTAGTCTGGCATCTTCTTTTCATTGGTGTAAAACAGATACCAACAGCAGAGAAGAAAGCTACCAGCCAGTGGCACATTCCCCTTGGAAAGAACCTTTTTTTTTTTTCTTTTTTTTTTAAGGTGGGTTCTCTGGTTCTTATGAATTTAAGAACTCTAGCTAAACATAAGATCTGAGAGACAGGAAAACACCTATTTTCAAAGCTGCAAGAGCTGGATTATCACTTTCTAACATTTTTGCAATCAAAAAATTATCTTTTAAAGAAGTTTACTAATTTTCATGGGATGATCACAGATTAGCTGCAAGCAATTACTCATGAAAGGGCTTTTAAACAAACCATAGATTACCAATAAATTGGCTGAAATGACTTCATACTAAATGTAAAACAGATTACCTTTCTATCTATAATTCAGTGTTCAAAAGAAAATATTAGTAAGTTATTCATAATATGTAATTCATTTTTATGTGAGCATCAGTAATTCTGACCTACTGGTGGTCCAGATAAACCCACATTTATGATGTTGTAACTTCAAGTGTCTTTTCATGGTGTTCTTTTTACAAAAAAAAAAAAAAAATTAGAAGTAGGGAAGGTCATAGCTTCTCATTTTAAACGTGCTCATTCCTGGGGCTAAGCATATGAGAATTATAATCCAACAAACATCTGTTTCTAAACTACTGATGCTTTAGCATGAACCAGAAATATAAATTTTAATCTGATGACTGAAAGCATCCCTTTAACTGTTTTATTTATTTATTTATTTTTTGAGTAGTCCAGTGGGATGACATCTGGAGGAGCTATGTTTTGTATTATTTATAGATGTGGACAGTAAGAGCCACATTTATGTCGTCAGTGCTGTTTGCCCTCCTTTAATTTCTCAAATGACCTAATTATATGTGTTCTCAATATGTCTTGGGAGGAAAATAATTGCTGATACTCTCAAAGGCAAAATGCTGAATACGTTTCTGTGCTTCTCACATTCCATGGCCTGACTGTGGGCATCATTAAAGTTACACTTTACCACTCTTCTGGAACGTGGCATTGAACATGTCCTAATGTCTCACAGTGAGAAGTGAAACACTTCCTCTTACTTACAAAGAAAAATATCTGATGTTTTACAGGATGCCTGACACTAATGCTTACTATTCTGCTATCTCTGATGTCTTCACTTATGGATATATTCATTAACAAGTACTTATTAACTATTTAACATTTCCTCTACTGAGTGTTATTAATTACAGATGCTGTATTAGTTTCCTAAGTCTGCTGTAACAAATTACCACAAACTTGGTGACTTAAAACAACAGAAATTTATTCTCTCACGGTTCTGGAGACCAGAAGTTCAAAATACAGCTGGGACCAAAGGCATCTCTGGGGAAGGATACAGTCCTTGCTTCTTCCAGGGTTCTGGTGAGTGTCCTGGCATTCCTGGCTGGTGACCACATCACTCCAGTCTCTGTGGCTGTGATCACATCGCTGCAGCCTCCTCTTCTGTGTGTGTCTCTCTTGTGAGTCTCTCATAAGGACACTTGTTATTGGATTTAGGTCCTACTCTGATAATCCAAGATGATGTCCCCTTTTCAAGATCCTTAAGTTAATAATATCTGCAAAGACCCTTTATCCAAATAAGGTCACAGTGACAGATTTGGGAGATTAAGATGTGGACAGATCTTTTTTGGAGTCACCACGCAACCCACTGCAGATGGCAAATTTAAACTGGCAATGGTTGGTAGCCTCTAGGCAGATTTTTGATTTTTAAAATCTGCTATTTAAAGATAAGTTACACAGTTGTTTTCTTTTTCTCTAAAATACCTCAAATAAACACTGTGCCTTTTTGGATGTAACCTCTTGCATCAGTGAGGTCCATGGTTAAATGTGTTCATTCACTCTAATACAGTGGATTTTATTGCTGGTAAATCTAGTGGTGAAAACATGGATTTAATGTTGGTGTTTGCATGCCACTAAAAGAACAGAAGAGCCTCCAGATCTCTCTTCTCCCCTCTTCTGACAAGACTCTCCAGGTTCTTATGGGTGATCCATGGTCCATGGTAGTGAAAGACAGTGAAAAGAAAGATCTCAGAAGTATGAATTCATTTACTATATCCTCAAATATCAATTGAGCCCCTACTTTGTGTCCTGCAATATTCTAGACATTGGAAAGAGAGACAGCTGACTTCCTAGGGGATGACCTATGTCGATACATAGGGCCCCGTGCTTGGAAGGTCCCCACCCTTGGTTTAATGCTCTGTTGTTATCTTAATAGTTTTTAACAGGGCCCCTGCATTTTCATTTTGCACTGGGCCCCATGGATTATGTAGCACGTCTTGAAAAGAACAGTGGACAATATAGGAAAGCTTCCAGCTCTCAAGGACTTGTCAGGGTATCTGATGGTAGACAGCCAGCACCAGTGCCCCAGGCATAAATATGTGATGCTGAGCCCTTTGGGGTCAAATCGAAGGTAAGACAGTAAATAATGTAGTATCACATTTGGATATATTGTAATGGTACCATGGACTGACTCACAGTTTCTGATTTTGTCTTCTATCAAAGCTTTCTACTTATTATTAATATCTTCACTTCTAAATTTCAGAGCAGCATCTCCCAAGATACAATCAGAATTGTCTAACTGTTTTTAAAATTTTTTTTAAGAAAAGCTTTCAGGGTTAATGACCATCATAAACCCTCTCTCGAATATAGATATTAGTTTCAGCATTTGGGAGGGGGAAAGGACCTTGGAATCATTGCCAATAAGAGCAATGTTTTGATAACAAAATGTTTCAAATTATATCTTGGACATCTCTTTCAGAGAAGATAAGTTGTGTAATATTGATGTTCATTTGTACCTCCTTCTAAAGAAGTGTTGTCTCAATATTTTCATCAAAGTGGCATGCCAGATTATATGAATGAGATCTAGCTCCTTAAATCTTCAAGGCTTCCAAGCAATCTATTTTTAACATAGAACAAGCATATAAATATATATGTTTTTAATCCATATTACTCCTGAAAGGAATAAACTCAGAACTGAAGTTGTTGGTTTTTTTTTAATGCAGTTCAACTAAGGATTTGTATCCAAAAGAAGTTGTTGCTTGTACTTCCATTTCTGCATTAGTCACACTAGATATATAGTCACTTTTAACAGCATTGTGCCATTACCAGTGACTTTAATTATTGTTTGGTAATCTTATCTACTTACACCGATATTAATTAAATCCATCTGGTGGGGGGAATGGGGGTCACCTCAACATACGTTGATTGAAAACTGCAAACCGTAATCTTTATAGTGGCTAATTTTCTCAGACCCTTCATTCCTGAGGACAGAAGGAGTTGATCACACCATTCATTCTAAAAATTGATTCTAAAATAGGAACTTGTTTTCTCTGCCTGTTTTAGTGCCTCCTGTTGGAATCAGCTCACTAACCAGCAGAAACAAACTGTTTATCCTTCCATGATGTTGTAACTGCCTGGGCTTTCTAATGCGTCTTCAGATTTCAGTTTGTACTCAGAACAAGTGAGAAAAGTTTTACAGAAACTCCACGAAACAAAGCAGACAGGCTCTCCTGAAGCCAGGGATTTATGCTAAAGGCAGGCATCACACATTGAATCAAGTATGCCATTACCCTCACTCCCATGAACCTGTCTTTCAGCACAATCCACGACAGCAAGAAGACAAAGGCTTTGTTACAACAGAACAGAGCGGAGACATCAGTGGCCGTCAGCTTCTTTAAAGCCAGTAAATAAAGGTAATTAGTCAAAGTCCATAGAATAGAAAAGGGAGCAGTTCTTTTAAGAAAGAGCTTCAACGTCAGACCATCTTCACCAAAAATCCGACTGCATTCCCTAGGAAAGAAAACAGAAATTAATATCCAGGTACTGATGGTGACACCTCTTGTCTTATCTGACTCATCGCAGCCATTTTCAGGTAAGAGCACAAACACTCAATACCCATCCTTCATCTGTGAAGTACACCAAACCCAGTTCTGAAATCTGCAGGCTTCAGGGACTGTATGAGGTTCCTTGGAAAACAGCCCACATGTGCCCAAGCACAGAGCTAGGCCCTCTTCTCCGAGATATTCTCTGGAGGTGGCCTGAAAAGCCATTCTGTCGTTTTTGAGCATTCTCAGAAGAGCCTGGAGAAATACAGAAATGGATAGTTGCTGAAATCACTAGCTACCGGAAGAGGGAGAAGATTCTTTCCCAGTGGGCAAACGAGAGAGGGTCAAGGCCGCTACTGCTCTGTGAACAGGCTACAGACAACTCCTAGAACCTGGAGGGAAAGGGACTGTCATACATCTGTGCGGCACACATGTCTTTGGGTTTTATTTCTAAGACACTACGCCTCTTTCTAATATATCTGCCCAATTGACTAATTTTTTTCTTGCTAGCATTTTTAAGGCAGAAAAATGAAGAAAGGCTCTGTGATATTTTTTTCATGATAAAAACTAAATAGAAAACTCAGGTTGTACTGAGATACAAACATTTGGCCCTTTTGTGGAGAAATTGTCTGAATTCAGTGTCAGAAAATGGTCACTTCAATTGTTAAATCTTCTATTTGATTTTCAATTAAGTTGGCTACATTTAGCCCCAGTCCTTTTTTTTCCTTTACGTCCTAGGCCTAAACATGATTTTTTTTTTTTCCTAGGTCTGGCTCTGTTACCCAGGCTGGAATGCAGTGGCATGATCTTGGTTCACTGCAACCTCCGCCTCCCAGACTCAAGCCATCCTCACACCTCCGCCTCCTGAGTAGCTGGGACTACAGGCACGCACCACCATGCCAGGCTAGTTTTTGAAAATTTTTTGTAGAGACAGGACTTCACGCTGTTGCCCAGGCTGGTCTCAAACCCGTAAGCTCAGGTGATCTGCTTGCCTTGGCCTCCCAAAGTGCCGGGATTACAGTCAAGAGCCACCGCACCTGGCTCTGAGGGGCCATTTTAATAAAAATGTTCAAACTAGTCATACAAACAGGTAGTAATGGAAGTGACACAATGACTGCGCCTATATGACGATGGACTGAAAACAAACTTACTACTGGGAGAATTTTACTTAATTTTTTTCCACTCAATTGTTCACGAACATTCAAGCATGTATGGGGCAACTGTCAGGCATTGTATTTTCATGAGTAGTATAAGTAATCTTGTTCAAAGCAACACATTATTAATATATGCATATGTTTATAATGAAATCTACTTACAGGACTCTAGTACTGGTTCTAGTTTCTTTTCCAGTTTTAAGTGAAATTAGTGTGCCTCAAAGTATTGCAAATCAAAGTAAATTCTAGCCAATGTTTGCTTCACATGAACGTTCACATGAATGATGTAATCCCAAAAAAGGACCACGTAGAGAGGAGGAGTGATAAAGAATTTAGGCACAGGGAGTACAGCCTTAAAGATTAAGTTTCATAGTAAATGTGACTTTCAACTGGATGAGAATGTTGGGAGTTGCAGGTCAGCGGTTGCAGGAAGGTTAAAGACATGTGTTGCACACACAGAAACTTGTATTGAAATTTGTTTACAAAAAAGGAAGAATTTTTGTAAAATGAAAGTAAGATTTCCCCAAGACAAATTTTAACTTTAAAGAGACAGAACTTCAAAGAAGAGATTAAATAACCTAAAGCCTTCTGTAAAGTAAACAGAAATTACACACGCTCACATACACACGAAAGTGAACAGTGTCTCTGGAGCCCCACAGCCAATGGGATAGTCTGAATTAGCACCATACATAGAACCAGAGGAAGTTTTCATAGAGCATCCTGGGCACAAAGTTCATATTCTATACTTATAAGGTGATCTGCTCCATGAGGAAGCTGCCGTGTAGAGCTGGAGTTGAGAGTTGTGGGTTTATCCTACCATTTAGAACCACTGACTGACTTTTAAAATATGAACACATTTATTAAGAACCACCACAAGAAAACCCATTCCTGATTAAAGGATTTCTTTTTCTTATCACTGGCTCTAGCCAGCGATTGTTCTTCAACCAAGAGCCCACCATCATGCTGGGAGGAGTGCTCCTAAGCAAAGATTTTGGACACAGGGAAGACCAACAGATGTGTACTCCAGACAGGCAGAGCCTGACCAGCAAAGCAGCTGGGAAGACGCTGCTGCCAGGCGGAGACTGCTCTCACCTGGCTCATCTTGTCTCCCAGGTGTTCATTTCCTCATTGTTCCCCTTTCCTTCCCCTTCCCTTCCCCTTCTCTCATTGCCAACCTTCTCCCCTTTGTCACTGTTTTTGTAGACATTAAAAACGCTCTCCATCCAAATGTCAGGTCACTTGTGTAAAATCTCATACTATTTAAGCATTAAACTCTAAGAAACATGAAAACTAAAAAAAATATGGATTTTTATGGAGAAGCAAATAAACAGTGGGTTTCTCTTTGGGATGATGAGATCAGACTTTCTGGGCAAGTGGCATTGACAGGTGGTATAGCTTGAAATGAAGCATAGAAGTTAGAGGACACTAATAATTTAGTTATGCTTATTATTAAAACAGCAGCCACTAGTTATGGAACCCTTTCTATATGTTAAATAGCATCTTAAGCACATTTTATAGGTGCCTGACATAGGCAAATATCTTTGCTCTAGTTTAATGCTTTCTAAAGAATTTTTCCCCTAAGAAAACATCCTTGTTAATAATATGCTATACAATTTTTTCTTCCTAAATTTCAAATTCACCTGAGGCAACTGAATTCTTCTGTAGTATATAAATGATTATCAAAAACTACTTCTAAATAGTCCTCACCATCTAGATTTGATACTTTATTGAAAATTATTTTGATGTTACTGACAAGAAAAAAAAAACTGGAAATGCTTTCATACCATTCTAGAGAAAAATACCATTCTAGAGAAAATAGAGGTTCTGCTGTTATGGGACAAATCCTATTTCCAGTCTTATACACTAACTGTTCTCCCCTTGTTCAGTCATGAGAGCTTTGGGAATGACTTCTTGGCAGATGGTATTAATGAGTCTACAGGGAAAAAAAGATCAAGGATCTAAGAATTGTCTGACAATTTTACCTCTCATATGGAGGAGGCCACTGGAGAATATTCCCTTCAAAGATAGTGTTTTCTGCTTGACAATAAAAGCCTGTTGATTCTATTTCAGAAATGGTCAACTTCACTCTCCATGCACTATAGGTAGAGTGCTAAATCAGATTTTACTAAGTTCAGAGTTAGTCTGACATGAGAGATGTGAAAAAGATAGTTCATTCCCAAACAACATTTCTGCTAGCAGCAGTCTCTTGTTTTAAATCAGTTATCTTAAATCAAACTGACTTTTGCTTTGAGGTATTCTTGAGGTACTTCTTTTTATACAAAACTTTTGTTGTTTTAAATCAATGTGTTTGTCTAAACCATGGAAGCATTCAAGTAGAACGCACATACTGTATAGGTGCACATAGGTATCTTCAAACAGGGACAACTGTAGTCTGATAATCACATTCCCCCATAATCAAATATTGTTAAAAAAATTTTACAATGCAAGATCATGTCTACTTTGAGAATCAAATACAAAATAAAAAAAATAATCTCAAAGAGTTATAGGGCTCTCCCAAGCCAGTAAGCATTTATTCTTTTTGAATTGTTTTTCACTTCTTTCACTATAGCTGAGTTTTCATGGACACATATAGAAAATCAACTCATGGTGAGAATTAATATTCCCAAGCACTTGCAAAGTGGTGATAGGAAATGGAAGTTGAGGCAAGACACATTGGCTTATGCCTGTAATCCCAGCACTTTGGAAGACCAAAAACCACATGATTATCTCAATAGATGCAGAAAAGGCCTTTGACAAAATTCAACAGCCCTTCATGCTAAAAGCTCTCAATAAACTAGGTATCAATGGAACATACCTCAAAATAATAAGACCTGTTTATGACAAACCCACAGCTAATATCATACTGGGCAAAAGCTAGAAGCATTCCCTTTGAAAAAACAAAAAAACAAAACTGGTGCAAGACAAGGATGCCCTCTCTCACCACTCCTATTCAAAAAAAAATTTGGAAGTTCTGGCCAGGGTGATCAGGCAAGAGAGAAAAATAAAGAGTAACCAAATAGGAAAAGAGGAAGTCAAATTGTCTCTGTTTGCAGATGACATGATTTTGTGTATTTAGAAAACCTTATTGTCTCAGCCCAAAATCTCCTTAAGCTGATAAGCAACTTCAGCAAAGTCTCAGGATACAAAATCAATGTGCAAATATCAGAAGCATTCCTATACACCAGTAATAGACAGCCAAATCATGAGTGAATTCCTATTCACGATTGTTCGCAGAGAATAAAATACCTAAGAATCCAGCTTACAAGGGATGTGAAGGACCTCTTCAAGGAGAACTACAAACCATTGCTCAAGGAAATGAGAGAACACAAACCGATGGGAAAACATTCCATACTCATTGATAGGAAGAATAATTCAATGCTCTTCCTATCAAGCTACCATTGACTTTCTTCACAGAATTGGGGAAAAAAACTACTTTAAATTTCATATAGAACCAAAAAAGAGCCCACATAGCCAAGACAATCCTAAGCAAAAAGAACAAAGCTGGAGACATCATGCCACCTGACTTCAAACTAAACTATCCTACAAGGCTACAGTAACCAAAACAGCATGGTACTGATACCAAAACAGAGATATAGACCAATGGAACAGAACAGAGGCTTCAGAAATACCACCACACATCTGATCTTTGACAAGCCGGACAAAAACGAGCAATGGGGAAAGGATTCCCTATTTAATAAACGGTGTTGGGAAAACTGGCTAGCCATATGCAGAAAACTGAAACTGGACCCCTTCCTTATACTTTATATAAAAATTAACTCAAGGTGGATTAAAGACCTAAACATAAGACTTAAAACCATAAAAAACCTGAGAATAAAACCTGGGCAATACCATTCAGGACATAGGCATGGGTAAAGACTTCATGACTAGACCAGGCAGTGGCTCACGCCTGTAATCCCAGCACTTTTGGAGGCCAAGGCGGGTGGATCAGGAGGTCGAGATTGGGCCCATCCTGGCTAACACGGTGAAACCACGTCTCTGCTAAAAATACAAAAAATTAGCTGGGCGTGGTGGTGGGTGCCGGTAGTCCCAGCTACTCGGGAGGATGGGCAGGAGAATGGTGTGAACCTGGGAGGTGGAGCTGTCAGTGAGCTGAGATCGCGCCACTACACTCCAGCCTGGGTGACAGAGTGAGGCTCCATCTCAGAAAAAGGAAAAAAAAAAAGACTTCATGACTAAAACACCAAAAGCAATGGCAACAAAAGCCAAAATTGACAAATGGGATCTAATAAAACTAAGGAGCTTCTGCACAGCAAAAGAAACTATCATCAGAGTGAACAGGCAACCTACAGAATGGGAAAAAGTTTTTGCAATCTATCCTTTTGACAAAGGGCTAATATCCAGAATCTACAAAGAACTTAAACATCAAAAAGTGGGCAAAGGAGGTGAACAGGTACTTCTCAAAAGACATTTATGCAGCCAACAAGCTATGAAAAAAAGCTTATCTTCACTGGTCATTAGAGAAATACAGATCAAAACCACAGTGAAAAAAAATCTCAGGCCAGTGAGAATGGTGATCATAAGTCAGGAAACAACAGATGCTGGGGAGGATGTGGAGAAATAGGAACACTTTTACACTGTTGGTGAGAGTGTAAATTAGTTCAACCATTGTGGAAGACAGTGTGATGATTCCTCAAGGATCTAGAACTAGAAATACCATTTGACCCAGCAACCCCATTACTGGGTAAATACCCAAAGAATTATAAATCATTCTAAAAACACACATGCACACACACGTTTATTGCAGCACTGTTCATAATAGCAAAGACTTGGAACCAACCCAAATGCCCATCAATGATAGACTGGATAAAGAAAATGTGGCACATATACACCATGGGATATTATGCAGCCATAAAAAGGGATGAGTTCATGTCCTTTGCAGGGCCATGGATGAAGCTGGAAACCGTTCTCAGCAAACTAACACAAGAACAGAAAACCAAACACTGCATGTTCTCACTCATTAGTGGGAGTTGAACAATGGGAACACATGGACACAGGGAGGGGAACATCCCACACTGGGGCCTGTTGGTGGAGGGGGGGGACTAGGGGAGGGATAGCACTGGGAGAAATACCTAACATAGATGATAGGTGCAGCAAACCACCATGCTACGTGTATACCTATGTAACAAAACTGTACGTTCTGCACATATATCCCAGAACTTAAAGTATAATAAAAACAGAAAAATCTGCCAAGTCACTGTAAAAGGTGATCACAAATTAAACATTCTTCAAGGCCAAAGGAATAAAGAATAATTAGTACATGCACCTTCAAAAGAAAGAAAATGGTAGTTGAGGCCAAGCATGGTGACTCACGCCTGTAATCCCAGCTCTTTGGGAGGCCAAGGTGGTCCGATCACTTGAGACCAGGAGTTCCACAGCAGTCTGGCCAACATGGTGAAACCCACCTCTACTGAAAATAAAAAAAAATTAGCTGGGCATGGTGGCACGCGCTTGTAACCCAAGCTACTCAAGAGGCTGAGGCAAGGGGCGAAGGTTATAGTGAACTGAGATCACGCCACTGCACTCCAGCCTGGGTGACAGAGCAAGACTCTGTCTCAAAAACACAGAAAATAGAATTTGAAGATAGACCCTTCCAAGTTAAGTTTATAAGAAGAGTCTTATAATGTACCAACTGTAATAATTTCTTTTCATTTGGTATAGGGGTAAGAAAGATTTTGGCCCCTGGAAGACAAATTTATTCTGCTAAGGAATAAGTCCATGTGGACGACGACTCTTCCGTCTGCCGTCTACTGATGTCCCTATTTTTTTTTTTTTTTCCTGGGTGATTAGAGCAATTTCCCTGGAAGTCACTTCTCAGCATCAGGCTTTTCCCTCTTCATGGAGCTGTCCACTAAGCAAAGGTACTTGGACCCAAATGCTGCTTTTGCCTCCCTTGAGTGCCATGCAGCGCTGGGTAACATCAGCCCTGTCAGCTTCCTGAGCTATCCAAGAGAGGGTTACAGAATTCAGGTTTAGTACAGAACAACCACTGGAACCATAAGACTTTAAGCCCAACCACCACTGTTCATGGTTAGCAAGGAAACAGACAAAGCCCCCATACACATCTAGCCAGCAAAGAGTGGCATCTTTTCAAGTTTCTTAGTGCCAAACTCCCCATTGCATGAAATCAGGCTGTGTCATCTGCTAGGCATCTCAGTGTCAGGAATATTGAGCAAATGTTTGTGTAACAATCTTATTAATACCATTTTTTTCTGGACTTGATGCACTAGGATGTTCTTATAAAACACGACTTTCAGAAATAGATCTAGATTTAAATCTTGGTTCTATTATTTATAAGTGTATAACCTTGGATGAGTCATTCAACCTTTCTGAATTTGTTTCCTCTTGTCTTAGAATGGGGATAACACCACCTTAAAATGTAAATGTTACCACCAGTCATAAGACATGCAAAAGCACCAGTACAGTGCCTGCCATGTTATAGACACATATTTTTAAGGAAGGACTGATTCTGCTTCTAGTGCTCGTCACCAACCTTAGATCTTGCTTCTTCACATACCCCAAAAAACTCAACTCATATTCCCAAGATATAAAAATGGGCATATTTTCATAAAACATTTCAATAATCTCTTATTGGCCAGTTAACATGAAACCTACCTGAATTTTTTCATTGGAGATTGCTTTTCTTGAGCAGTGGCTAGATGACCAGAATAATAGACTGGGAAAAACATAATGTTCCAGTTTGTTGAAAACCAAGTCATGAAAAATGGGCAATAGAAGTTCTTATAAGTAATTTTTACAATCTGTGTAGTTCCAACCCAAGACGATGATACTGACAAGATGATCAAGAGTCCCCAGATGCCCTTCAGAACCATGGACGTGCAGGACAGGCAGCGAGCCTTGATTCTGTTTTCTTGGCTGCTGTTCTCAGAATGAGTCTGTGTCCCATCGTCTGCTGGAAACAGGAAGGGAATACAAATGTGTGGAAAGCAGGTTATGAAACAGCAATCAAATATATCAGCTCCTTAAAAAAGATGGATGAAACCAAACAGGCAGACAGTAGAATTACCAGTGATTTTCTTTTCTACCATCATTTGAGGACACTGATAACTTCGGCTCACTTTTTCTCTGGACTCTCTGCTCTACCCAATACAGTAAGCGTCTGAGTCCCCATCCAGTCCATGAGGTTGCTCATGGACTTGGTGAATGCTACGCTGTTTTCCAGTGTGCCCTTGCCTTGTAAGAGCAGTACACATCCCAGCCCCCAAAGACTGGTCTTGGCCCCATGCCCTGCTTTCTCCTATCAAATGTGAGAAGATGTGAGGCATAACACCTCCCATAAGAAGCCTTAGGAAGCATCCCAAGGTCCTACCAGCTCTCTTGTTCTTCCCCTCTGTCATTACAATGTAAAACACCAATAGAAACTCTTCTTTCTGTCTGTATGGGGAAATGAGCAGAATGCAGCCCAAGCTGCTCTGTATGCACCAACATGAAAAGGGAGTGAGAAATAAATATTTGTTTCCATTTTCCTTTTTTTTTTTTTTTTAAGTTGTAGCAAATGGCCTGGTGTTGTGACTCATGCCTGTCATCTCAGCACTTTGGGAGGCCAAGGCGGGAGGATCACTTGAATTCAGGAGTTCGAGACCAGCTTGGGCAACAAAGCGAGACCTTGTCTATGCAAAAAAAAAAAATTTGCAGGGGGGTGGGGCATACACCTTTAGAATCCCAGCAACAAAAAAAAAAAAAAAAAAGGTGGGTGAATCCCTTGAGCCCAGGAGTTTGAGGCTGCAGTGAGCAATGATTGTACCACTGCACTCCAGCCTGGGTGACAGAGGGAGACCCGGTCTCTTAAAAAAAAAAAAATGCAGCAGAGATGATTACTAAATTAAAAGTAATGTGTCCCAAGAATAGAGCAAGTCCTGACTACACAGTCATTTCCCACCTCATCACAAATGACTAATATATTTCTGGGAACACAATAAATTCTGCTTTGTACATTTACTAAGAAAATGTAGCAGCAATTTTACAGCACCCTAAAATAGCCAAAACTCTCTAAAAGTGATAATCATGAAGGCTGTCTCCCTTCATGGAAAAAACAAGTTAACATAATGAATTCATGTACCTATCAGGAAGCTAAACAGGAACAGAGGTCACTTGGAGTCCCTGAGCTGAGATCCCAGGTGATAATTGTCTACGAGATTCTCTTGTGTCTCCAGGGACCCCACTTAAACACGAGGCCTATGCTGAGGGTTAAAGTCGCGTGGCCCGGAGATTGCCAATGGCAGTGTGTGGGGCCCGCTCACTTTGTGTCTCCAGAACCTGCTGGCTCTGCTGCTGAATGTGTTCCTACTGCTTAATGAGCCAGGTGTGGCTGCCCCACTGTGTTAAAAACCTTTACCTAGTTAAGGCTTTCTGATATAATCACTGGGGGGAAGGGAGAAGAAAGTCTTGAAAGTGAATTCTCCCCTGGGGAGTATAAACCAAGTAACTATGAACACGGCAACCACTGCATGACTTATAAGCCTTATAAACAGTACTGAATTCTCAGAGCCTCGGCACCCAGAAGATGAAAACTGGCCATCTTTTATTCATTCATTCAACAGAATCTTATGGAGACTCTACCAGGCGCTAGTTAGCTACTTGGATCCTAAGGGTTTGACTATGAAAGACTTGAGCCCACAGTCTAATGGAAAGCCAGAAACATACTCAACACAGTGTGATAAGAGCCAACTCGGACAGATACAAGGCCAGACAAGTACTGTTGAGGAGTCTGGGGGGGGATATGATCAGAAAAAACGTCCATGATGCAGTGACACTGAGATGAGTCTGGAAGTGTGAGTTATTCAGCTCCTTCAGCTGTTTACAGACAACACCATCTCTTGATAACAGGTCTGCAAATTTCCTCCATGACCATGTGGCTTATGCAGAGAGTAGAAAGAAAACCAGGATAAATAAGAGGATAGAATGAGAGAATCTTGTGTTGAGAGGCCAAGAAAGGAACACAAACCTGACTTACTAAGTAGGTATTGTCATTCCCACTTTACAGATGAAAAAGCTGAGACTTGTGTTAAGGGTTGTCCAAGGTTGAACCCAACCGAAACTTTATTCTGAGCACCCGCATGGCTAGGACTTCAGCCCTTAGCTTTCCATTCAAGCACAGCAAGTTTCAGACTAGTTTGGGAAAAAAGTTCTGTTTCCTGACAGGAATGGCACTCCTGCATGGAATTTAAAAAGCGATAGTTAAGAGAAAGGTGTACCCTACTACACTTCAGATCTCATGATTCCCAGGCACTGTCTTATAAAGGAGGAATAACTCTACAAAGATTCTGAGACAATATCTGCCTTTACTGTCACCTTATTTGAAGAATGCGTCTGCATCACCACTATACTATGGGTGTGCTTTTGATGACACCAATAGTCACCTACATCTTTTCATAGTATTGACTCTAGGCTTCTTCTGTTAACTAGATTGACTGTTGCCAATTCTTTAATTTTACAAAGCACAGAAAGATTAGGTATCCAGAACTCTTTTATCTTCTGACCACTTTTAACATGATTTTCTATAGTCCTGCTTAGATTTTGTTATCGTAAAATTGGTTTACCAGGATTCTATCCATTTCTGTGTATCTTTATCAAGTCATGCAAATTGACAGTGGAGGTCACTGGAATTTGGAAACATGAAATTAAATCCTAGCCCTGCCATTGTATGGCATTGAGTACATTTTAAAATTCCTTTCTTAGCTTCTTTATCTGTCAAACAGTGATAATAGCTATCTCATAGAATTTATTTTGAGATTAAGTACCATAATATCCATGAAAGCACGGTGAGCTTCTCTTCAGATTTTTCTTCTCTTTGGTGCACTGGAATATCCCCAAGTGCTTCCAATAATCACAGAAAGAGTAACCTATGTTCCAGATGATCTTTAATGGTATGGTCTATTGAAATTTGTAATCTGTGTATGATAGATAGGGCATGTCTTTATTAACCAGTGTGTTTAATTAACTGGAACATTTTGTTTTGCAAACAACTGGGATAATAGGAATATTGCAATTTATTAAAGCCAATTAAAACTTTCTGAAAATTTAAGATACCATTATTTTTCTTTTTTTTAGTTTTAGCCTTGGGGTTCACATAGTGTCTGAGATATCATTTTAAAATACTGTTTTTGAAGAATGTATTTTCTCATAAAAAACACATTCTCAAATGAGTAGGACCCTTGAAGAAGCTTTCACATCTCTCTTCCTCTGTTTACCCTTCCCCCACCCCTAATTGAATCCTCTGAATTGTCTTTTTTTTTTTTTTTTTAAGGCAGTTTTTCCAAATTTCTGGAGATTATTTTTGTTGTTGTTGTTCTTTTTACTACCAACTTATTTTGGTGGTGTATTTTGTTGTTTTTGCTGCTGCTGTTACTATTTTTGAGGATGAAAGAGATTTTAGTATGTTCCCAGCCAAGCTGAAGGAACAAATGGAGAGAACAGAGAGGAAACAAATGGAGAGGAGTAAATAGGCCAGAAGAGATGTAGGTGGGGCGATCATGGACACAGGTAGGGGGGCTAAAATTGGAAAGGTATAAAGACACACATACCACAAGTCATCCCACAGCGATGGTAACTGGTAAAAGCACAGAGACATTCTGAAGTAGACAAATGCATTTGTAAGTATACAACTGTTTGCTCTTTTCAGGAACGTGGAAGTATGGTTGGTCATACAATAAGAGGAAGTGAATATAAACAGGGGACTTGAGTCTATTCCCTGAGGAAGGCAATAGGATGTCCACTACCAATAAGTAACAGTACTGGCCAGCAGCCTAGTGGACCCAGCTGCATTTAAAAACTATAAATTTTGCTGGGAAACTCATGAGCATAGTTACAAGATTTATCTAGCAATTCCTGTCAGTAGCCCAGGAGTTGGTGAGTGGTCAGGTGGATGTGAGGAAAAGCTAAAGTCTCAACTGATCAGAATATGCTGATCAGGGAAGCCAGTGAAGTTTCCTGCAGAAAGTATAAAACTGGGAAAACTAAAAGGGCTCCAGGGACTAATAGTCCTGATGAGGACAAAAGCAGATTCTGTGATTTTGCTGGTGTTTTCAATCTTTTCAGGATGGGCACATTGTGCTGTTACTGAATCCCCAGGCTGAGATTAAAAGATGCAGGGTTTTGATATTTTGAAGATGAGAAAGCTAACTACCTTGTAAACTTCACCAGGAGTCATTGTCTAACCATGTGTTAAGTTACTCAACTACAGGTTTTGGCATTCAGTTTCTCTGCCATACTGTAGAGTATAATGGAGTGCCACTAATAGATTGTATCTATATATTTTCCTTCTTCCTTATCCTTTGGCTTGATAAATCTTCCCCACATGTACTCATAAGAGTCCACGTAACATCTCTGCATTCTGTGACAATGGTGAGGTCTTTCTATTTAGAAGCTTACTAGGATGTACCATTATTTGAGAGGAGGTCACCCACATACCTGATCTGTTCTGTCTCTCAACTCTGTGTCCACAAACTCCTGAGGATCCTCGGTTCTGAAGTTCAAGAATAGGAGCAGAGGAATCTTCGGTGACAGATAGCGGGGACAGTTGTCTACTGATGCCACTGTGTGAACTGGGGCAGTTGGCTCCTGGTTTACATCGAGTGACTGATGATCTGGAGGTACCTGGGAAGACAGAGTACACCAGTTTGGGAACTGCCTGAAGAAAAAACTGGAAGTAGATTTTATGTATTTATTGATTGTTTGGAAACAGGGTCTCACTCTGTCGCCCAGGCTGGAGTGCAGTGGTGTGATCTCGGCTCACTGCAGCCTCTGCCTCCTGGGTTCAAGTGATTCTCCTGCCTCAGCCTCCCAAGTAGCTCAAATTACAGCTGTGTGCTACCATACCCAGTTAATTTTGTATTTTTTTGTAGAGATAGGGTTTCACCACGTTGGCCAGGCTGGCAGAAGTAGATTTTTTTTTCCTGAACAGTAAAATATATGGTTGCAACAATCACAGTCCTAATGAGCTTATTTCAAATTCTATAAAAGGGGCTCGTAAAAAGAAAATGCTATGGCAAGGTCTGTGCCTATAAGATAAAGACTCTTTTAGATAAATCTATTAGCTAGAAATGAACACTAGAAGATGATGTTTGGATTGGTACTTGTGTTCAGAATTAACATTTAACACAGTCAAATAGCTTAAGGCAAGGAAGGCACAGTGTTCTGTGATTTTCCACTCCACCCTTTTCTTCCTAAGGCTGTCAATTTCCTAACTGGTAAAACTGCCAACAGTGTTTCCAACAAACTGACTATATACTTTTCCATGGGATTGATCACTAAAATTTAATTTCATTGTGTCTTCTCAATCACCACTAGCCTCTATTTGGTGTTATAGATAAAAATCCTCCATAAGCCAACCCTCCTCCCAATTCTGATTAATGGTCCAAGAATCTCCAACCCCAGGTCAGCCTCATGGGTCTGCAGCCAGTATAGTCACACAGGGTGCTGTGCTCAGAGGGCCCATCTTGCCACTTCCCACCCCTCAGCCCCAATTTTCCTATCCAAATGATGCATCTATCAACATTAAGAGATTAACATTGATACATCACTATTAACCAAATTCCAAACTTCATTTGGATCTCACTAGTTTTATCACAAATGTCCTTTTTCTAGGACCCTATTTAGGGTACCACATTACATTTAACCATCATGTTCCTTTATCCACCTATGGTCTGAGACAGTTGTTCAGTCTTGTTTATCATGACCTTGACAGTTCCAAAGAGACCTGTTGAAGTATTTTGTAGTCTCTCGATTTGAATTTGCTAGATATTTTATCTCATGGTTATATTTGGCTCATGGATTTTTCAGGAAGAACATCACAGAGGTAAAGAATCCTTCTCATGTAGTATCAGTCATGACATACTACCAACATGACTTGTTATTGATGATGTTAACTGTGATTACCCGGCCAAGGTTGTGTTGGCCAGGTTTCTCCACTGTCTTTTTTCACCTTTCCATGCTCTGTTCTTCGGTAGCCAGTCACTAAGTCCAGCCCACACTCTGGGGTGGGGAAGAGGGGGTGTTAAGCCTCACTTTCTGGAGTGGGGGTGGTCTACATGTATTATTTGGATTTCTTCTGTAAAGATAATTTGTCTCTTTTCCTCCTTTATTTATTCACAATTTATTTGTATTAGTATAGACTCATGAATATTTACTTCACACTTTGGGTTATGATCAAACCTGCATTATTATTTCACTCAAATTATTCCAGCTTTGGCCATGGCGAGCTCTTTTAGATGGGCTTCTGAGTATCTTTGATTTGTCCCCATTCTTTTGTGGTTGAGCTCTTCCTTACTTTCTGGCACTGCAAGATGCCCTGGGCTTATCTTATAGTTTCCTTGCCCCGCTCCTGAAATTAATCATTTCCCCAAGGATATCTATTTCTTCTATTTCTTTGGAATGATGGTTGCCAGAGTCTAGGATGGATAGTGGGTTGAGGGTGGAAGGAGTGGAGACAGTTAATGAGTATAAAAATATAGTTAGAATGAGTAAGATCTAGTATTTGAAAGCACAAAAGGGTGACTACAGTCAACAATAATTGATTGTGGATTGTAAAGTAACTTAGATTGTAATTGAAATGTTTGTAACACAAAGAAATGATAAATGCTTGCGGTGACAGACGTTGTATGTCTGTATAAAAATATCTCATGTACCCCATAAATATATATACCTACTACACACCCATAAAAATAAAATGTACTATTTAACCTTGGATTTAGAAAATTATAAATTTATAGTTACTCAAAAAGTTAACAAACATTATATACTGACTGCTACACTTAAATTAATGCTATGTTACTATTGTTATTATAAGAGTGTCAAAAATACCTGAGGTTCTTATTTTACATATCCAGAATGTTTATTATACCTTGTACAACTATGTTTCTAACTGGACAATTCAAGTTCAATAAAAACAGACTGTATGAAATTCAGTGAACTCTCAATTATTCATGTTCTTCAAGAGTGGCTGATGCTCAGATACTCCAAGAGTCTTTTAAAATTTATCTTTCGAAATTTATTTTTTATAGGGTATGCCTTCTCCTCTTTTCTCAGGGTAATACTGGGGCTCATTTTCCCAATATTCCATTCCCAATCTCTTGGCAATTATAAGTCAAAAGGAGAAAGTCTAGAATTAGGTCGGGTAGCAAGTTGGGATGGGAATGAGATAAAATATTGTGCATAGTTGCCTAAAAAGTTGGTAACTTGTGTGTAGCTAGCAAGTGTTGAATGTATAAGCCACACTAGTGATTTATCTTCCTTTCTCATTTTCACTAAAATATATGTCTTGGCTTCCATACCTCCTGTTCCTTATGTGATATACTGCAGAGCCCATTGCTTGCTGCCAGCTGCCTCCCACTGGTCAGTTTGTGGAAGAGATCCAAGAATAGTTCATCGCTGTCTTAAACAATGCAAACTTTAAACTTCAGAGCCAGACCTGGAGGCCTGGCCCAAGTCCTGATACAATTATCTCTGATCCTGGAAGCGAAAACATTGTCCCATCCTCTATGGTCTTGTACCATTTAGTTAATCTAAAGGCAACCTTGACAAATATAAACATTCAGAACATCGCCTGGGATGTAGTCAAGTGTTATAAATAAATCATTTCTATTTTCTGTTTTGCATGCAACAATGAGTGCCTTAGTGGAACCAGAGATTGCAAATCCAGTTAGGAAACAGCATTCTGACTTTACTAAGTATTGTGAATAAACTGTCTTAGGAGTAATGTGTGTGTGGTATCTCATTTGTCACACCAGATGGTCCCCTATCCTTCTTAAAGACATCTGCTCACCTGACCCATAGCAGTGGGACCATCTTGGGCCGTTTTTCTTATTTGGTCCAGGAGGAGAATATGATTTCTTTATATGCACTGGTCAGGATCTGCATGCTCCCAAATGCAATTTGATTCAACAAGTAATTACTAAGCACCTATTATGGGGCAGGTATTGTGTCAGGAGCAGAGATAGACAAATGAAGAATAGTTTGTACCTTCATGGAACTCTCAGTTAAGCATGATGCAGACATGTAACCAATTAGCCACAGTTTGATGCAGCCAGGGGAGCAGGAAGAAAGGCAGTGAGGGATTCATTCAGAAGCCTGGAGCAGGGAAGGCTGTATGGGAGGTTACATCAAAGGTGTCTGAAGGATGAATAGAACTTAATCAGGCAGAGTTTTAGGTTGGGGAATAGGCAATACAGTCACAGGAAACCGTAGAAGCATAAACAGAGGCATAAGGTGCATGCTATGAAGCTTAATATTAAGACAATCAGCTCTAAGATGCTGAAATCTCAGTACACAAGAGTATCGGAAATCCCATTCTTTCACCCTCACCTGTTACTTGAAAAGGAACTGTCTAATTGAGATTCAGGCAGTATACAGTGGCCAAGAAACCAGGCTGTCTAAACCTGGGGAGACCTGGTAAACAAAAATGACTATTGGGGTCATTTATTAAATAGAATATTTGACTTAATATACTAGCAATCCAAACTAAATTGGTTTAAAGCTAAAAGGGGAGTTTTTAGGAGCTTAGTAACCTAAAGAGACAAGAAGGGCTGAGTGTCCTTAAACCTCAGGAACACCTGGAACCAGGGCCCTGGTGCAATCAGTCTCATCTTCTCCATCTCTCCTTGCTGGGTACCAGCTTCATTTCTTCTCAGTTGGCTGCTGCTTACATTTCTCTGCAGAATATTTGGTTGTTTGAAGCTCCCACATTTCCAATCTCACAGCTTTAGCCTTCTGAGAGAAATCTAGCTGCACAGAGTCAAAAATCCTGAGAAAGGGACTTGAATATTATACCGATGACTTGTCCAATTTCTGTGACTAGCTGAGGGAACGTTGCAACAGGCTGAAGCTCCCAGGAAAGGAGGAGTGGAGCTGAGAATAAGGTGCCTTGGGTGTTTAAGAACTTCAAAGCAAAAGAACTATAGCCACTGAGTAAAACAACTGCTTACACAGATTGAGTATAAGACGTGTTCTCAGATAACAACTTGAAAAGCCAAATTGATGAAGGTTAACTAGGAAAAGGTCTTTGGAAAGCACTGGGGGTAAAAAGCAAAGAGTCAAATGTCTCCATGCGAACAAGTGCAAGATGACTTGGAAGATACAGATAGATCAAAGTCCCAGCTATCGTTCAAAGGCCTTGCTATTGGCTTTTATCTCCTATGGGCACAAAAGGTTAACAAAACATCTGGCTTTACTAAGTACTATACTGAAGCTGAGCCAGAGACCTTATCCCTATTTGCCCCAAATCATGAGGCAAACACCACTGTGTAGATCTGGTGCCTAAACCTAAAGGCAGAAATCATGAATACCCAGAAGCGATTAACACAATCTAGGGAGTGTGTGTGTGTGTGTATAGAAGGGGTAGTTGTGCTATGACAAGAGGCAACATAGTGTGTGTGTGTGTGTGGCTGCCCTGAAAAGTAGGATACCACTGGCTATGTCACCTCAGATGAATCACTTGACCTCACTTTGTCCACATTATTTTCTTGCTGAAATTAAAGGATTAGACAAAATGATTTCCTAAATTCCCACAGCTTTCTCTTCTTCAACCTGAAGATTTTTCAAACATGTACCTGCAAATTATGCTTAACCATGAGACAACTTGGTCTGTTTTCAACTCATTT